TTAATATATATACATATATATATATATATATATATAGAATCACTGAACCAACACAAACAAAACAGAATCACCGGATCAGATTTACGATAGTCATATAGAGAGAGAGAAGGGATAGATCCGAACCTTTCTTCCTTCTCTCAATGCCTTGATCTCCGCATAATAGATAGACCTTCGCAATTGAGAGAGAGACCTTCGAAATCGAGAGAGAGAGCGCTTTGAAATCAAAATCGAAATCGCCGAGATGTCATTCTGAGATGAATCACCGAGATTCGATCGATCGATCTGTTGAGAGAGAGTTTGAGAGAGAGCGATCCGTTGAGAGAGCGATCCGTTGAGATATCGATCGATTGATATCCTGAGATGAATCACTGCTATTGGAAGTATTTGAGAGAGAGAGAGAGAGAGAGAGCGAGCCATCCACAGATCAGGAGAGGGTTGAGTGACTGAGAGCTTAGGAAGGAGGGTGTAGAAGAGTGAGTCAGCGGCCGGCCCATTTAGGGAGATAGTGTTTAGAGATTTGAAGGCGCTTTTGAACGCCTCCTATCATTAAAACGGTGTCGTTTTCATTTAAAAAAAGGCGACGTTTTCAAAACGCCATTAAATATTATAAAACAGTGACGTTCAAAAAAACGCCATTAAATAAACGCCGTTAAAACCGTCATTTCCTACAGTGTATATATATATAGATGTACTTCGATTTGAACTACTTTTATCTTTCGAACATGATAGACTTCTAAATAAATTGTTTGCTTCATAAAGAAAATAACAAAAGTCCACACGAAAAATATGATACTGGAAATTCAACCAGTAATGATGCCAACGCATGCGAAATGATTGATGATGGGTAATGGAAATTTCAAATGGTTATCTTATCTCACTGAGAGCATGTTTGGTATAATATAGAATATAATGAAATAAAAATATAATGAGAGTAACAATAAAATAAAATGTTGAATAGAATAGAATATTAAAATCTCATTTAACCCTGGGGATTGTGGTTAAGGCTTGGGGTTTAAGCTCCAAAGTCACAAGTTTAATTCCCTCTCCCTTGGGATAATCTCCTGGGCGAAGCACAGTTGGTTAGGAGGTTGGATTTGAGGTTGGATTTCAAGTTGTCTAATCAGCACTTGGTGTGGGTTCAATACTCCCCCGCTGTGCGAGTCCCGACTTAAGCGGAGCTTGTCTTGAGAGGTCGGGGCAAGTTCTCAGGTTATAGTCTCCTTGTTCAGAATGACTGACAGGATACCTTGGTGATCTCTGCAAGGGGCGCTGCCTTAGACCTGCAGGAGGGTAGAGAGGATTTTCCTGTAACCAAAAAAAAAAATTTACAATGGTGTGACATGTATCAATTGGTGTATATATTAGTGTATTAATTAGTATTATGATATCATTAATGACCTTATATATTATACAAATTATAAATATTCAAAATCTCTAAAATTATATTATATCATCTGTTAATACACTAATATATACACTAATTAATACAAACAGTACGAAAATTTTTTAAAAAATATTAACATAATTAAATTTTTTTTTTTTAAATGTAACTAAAGACCAAAAAATATATATATATATATATTTGTTTGGGGTATTATAAATAAGTACACTTTTGACTTTTTGGATTAAAAAATTGAGAGAAAAAAGATGGTTGTTTGGGTTAACTTTTTAACTTTTTATGAAAAAATGTGTATTAAAAAATTGTATAAATTAGTGTGTAGGAGAAGATTAGAAGTGTGAGTTGTACAGCCGTACTATCTGCGTAGCTGAATTGATGCTAAGAAATGAATGGCTACTTTTCGAGCATTGCACTGGACGATGCTGTTCGGCCCGTGGGGGCCATCGCGGGTCCTATTTTGATAATTTGAATCGTTCAATGTGTAGAACTCGTCAAGTACTATATGCCTAAAAAAAATCACGTTGATCGGATATCGATAGCTATTTGATCAAATTAGTTTTTTTTTTCAACCGTTAACTATAACACCATCTATTTTTTTATACAAAACTGATTTGATCATGTAATTAGCGATATCCGATCAATGTAATTTTTTACAGACATATAGTACTCGATGAGTTCTACACATTGAGAGGTTCAGATTATCAAAACGAGACCAGTGATGGGCCCCCATGGGCCGAACAACAGTGTGTTAAAATTTCACCCCAACTGTGCAATAATTACCAAACGTGGTAATAATTTTGAGAAAACATAGAGTTTTGTTTGAGATATGGGTTGACTTTTTTAGCTTGGAGCTAAAAAGTCTTGTTTAGGATAGGCTTTTTGGTTTTTTAAACTTTTGTAAGAGAAAAAATGAAATGATTATTGTTTGGATGTGATATTTTGTCTTATTGGGCTAAAAAATCTATTTTGCCTTTTTGTTACTAACATAGTTAAAAGGCCAAAAAGCTTGGCATGCCAAACGAAGGCTAAGCCTTATAGCAATTTTGACTCTAAAAAGAATTATAGCAAATCATGGGTCTAAGTTACCGTTTAATATTACTTTTTTTAGTTGACTTTTTTAAGTTGAAACTTTTTTAGTTTGTGACTAAAAAGTTCCTTTCGTTTTTCCTTTTACCTTCAATCACATAGGATTGGACTAACAATGCCAACTTCTTGTATGAATGATAATCCTACCCCTGGGGGGATTAGTAGTCTCATGGGACTGTTAGTGCCATGCCACATATGTTTAGCCGCCTCCCTTTAAGAAGTACCTACCTGCAAAAGCCTCATTTGTAGTTTGAAATTTAATTTAGGGTAAATTACGCAAACCTTCTTGATAGTTGGTAAAAATACATTTGGCCTCATTAGTATTAGATAATTACATTGTTCTCTCTTATGTTTTACAAGTGCATTACATTTAGCCCACAATAGTTGGTCTATCCTTAATAATAAGGGTAATTTTTTGATACATCGCAAAAAATCTCAATACACACTATATATGTCGTTCAAATATATTTTTTTAAACAAAAGTTAAATGTGTAGACATAAATTTATAAACAAAAAACAGTGTTTTTCGGGCAATCGACCTCTAATAGAATACACGTATTCTCAGTTCATTCAACAGTTTACAATTTGCAATTCACAATTCAATATATATGTGAATAATTCATTTTTTTCATAAGTTTGATAGAAAAGCAGCACTCGCCTCCGTCCTGACTTTTCAACGGATTGGGTAAAATCTGCTCCCTATTCACATTGAGCGGGGTTAGGTCCTATGTGGAGTGGATCAAAATGGCCATCCTTAGATATGACAATGGTGATAGTAACGTGTGGCTGTAGTGGCCGTGGTAGCGAAATCGTGGCCGTGGCGATGGTGATATAGAGTGGTGGTGGCGGTAGCGGTGGAGGTTGAGTGGTGGCACTAGTAGTGGGTGTTGGAGTGGCGACGTTGACAAAGATAAGTGTGTTGGTTGTAGGAGTGGTGGTGGTGAAGTGGCGGCAGCGGCAGAGACAATGGTAGTGGTGGTGCAGTGGTGGCACCGGTAATGGGCAGTGGAGTGACAACGGTGGTAAGGGTGTTGGTGATGGTGGAGTGGTTGTGGTAGTAAAGGTGGTGATGTGGCTATGATGGCATGGTGGTGGTGGTGCAGTGAATGAGATGGGTTTAAACATGTCCTATGGCCAAACCATTTATGAATTTGGATAGTTTTAATGGGTATAATTGGGCGGGTTCCCAGTTTCGAGTTAACTTTGCCACCTCTAATAATTATCTATATGGTTATCAAAATCCCCGATCTGAATTTTATGATCCTACGATTTGACGATCCATTTGAACACAATCGATCTGAATCGTGTAAAAAAATCTTTTACAAATAGGATCTTTCGATATTAGTAATTGGATCTTACTAAATTGTATAATCTTTATTCGAATTCGATCCAATATGTAAGCTTGGTTTTGTATCGTATGACCTATTTACTTTAAATTTTATATTTGTTGTTTAAATACCAATTTATGTGGTCCAAATGAATAAAAAAACAAGTAATATTGAATTAAATAAACTAAGAAAAAACAAACTAAGAAAACAAACATTTAAATATTGCACTCATTTAAGAAAATTAACTAGTCGAAAAAACAAAAAATTGGCCTTAACAAAGTCTTAGGGGGGGCAAGATGTATGCAACTTTACCCCAATTTTTGGAGAGTTTATTTCATGACTTGAACCCGCACCACCACGGACACTAACAACAAACTTTTTTTTTTTTTACCAACTACAAAACTTTTACCATCGAATTTTCTATTGTATAACATTATATTATATTTTATATGGAGTATTATATTTTCAAAATATCTTCACTTCTTTTTAATATAATCAGGCTAATTTTGTGTATAATTTTTAAGAAATATTTGTTTAAATTAATTTTACTATGTATTTTGTTTGTTTCAGTAGGATTTTACAATTCTCGATCCAATTCTACGATCCAATTCTATCAACTTCTTCAATGATCCAATGTAAGATTCCGATTTTAACATCTTATAATTGCTAGGAAGGCAAGACAAATCAAATCGCTTGTTCGTCGGATCACGACATCCGTATAGACATTGATGGCACATTGGCGTTATTGTGCAAATGATGATGTTAGCATGCCATTGTTACCTTGCGATGGTTTCCGAAGTCCAATAACGGTTAATAGGGCATGATTAAATCGCTATGATACCAAGTTGAAGTCCAAAGTGCGAGGAATTAGGGCTAGGGTTAAAATAGAAAGAGAAAAAGAAAGAAGAGAATACAATGAATAGGATTTGGCAACATAACAAAACCCTTCCACCTTAGCACTTATTTATATTAAAACACTTACATGACAATAGAAATCTCAACAAAACAACATAAAAACACTCAACTATTGTCACCAACAACTAGCGCTATTTGATGGTCCAAATAAAGCTAGTGCTATTGGGCTTAGATGGAGTCCTCTTATCTACATATTTGCTCTTCTGGATGGTTATGCGGTTCAGGCGTTGAAGGCTTACTGACACCAATATAACAAAATCAAATACATATATGACATTATGTGGTTTAGTAGTTTGGAATTGTTATAAAACCAAAATTTCAAACACTATAAAAAGAAGCAATAGTTTAACATTTAAAAAAGAAACAAAAAACAATAGAAAAACATAAAAGGTAATGAGGATGTTGCAACCAAATGCATTAATTGGTGTCTTCACTTAATTTGTTACAATTCTTTGGGTTTTGCGAAACTTGAGACTGGAGTTAGACCGTGTTTGAGTGCAGCCCTCCACACCAAATCGATTCGGTCCACATCGATCTCTCCGACTTCGTGATGACTCCAACCTTCTAACAGATGAATCACACCACCTGCATGGCAAGCATGGACTACTCCTCTCTCCATCGTATACTGTTTGTTTGTTCCCCAACAATTTTTTTTTTTTTTAAAAAAAAAAAAGAAGTGAAAATATAATATTATTGTGATAAAAACATGAAACAAAGGAAGATTGGGGGAGGGTATATATATACCTCACAATATCCAAGCCCACGTACATCATCAGGAAACTTCATGGCTGCAAGATCACTGTAAGTGCAGTCTCTTCTGAAGGGCAATATTGGTGGGACCACAAATTGGTGAAAATGTGTTCCAGCTGGGGCCCAACTTTGCTCTCTTGGTGTTATCCACTTACCAACTACCCAAGTCTATCATGGTAAACAACAAAATTCAACACATTCCAATGCATATCTTTACAACATAGAAACTACACTTAGAATTGAATACAATAAATGTAAATATATGAATAGATAGGATTTTAAGAAATTTATTAGCCAAGCTTATTTCACATTCGATCAATTGAGCTCCGTATCAAAGCTAATTAATGTTTTGAATAACTTAATGTGTATATTATATTATATTATATATACCTTACAATTCTTGGCTGCTTGATGCTTTGTCACTTGGACTAAGTATTTTTGAAACTCAATTGGGGCTTCCTTCTGTATCTTCTCAAATCTCTCAATTGAAAGGGTTAACATCTACACTATGCTTCAACCCTTTAGAAACCAAAACTTCAAAACAAAAAAAAAAAAAAATCAATTAGATGACAAATTGACAATACTTACAATCACTCGTACTCTCCGTCTGCAAAGGTAAAGGGCAATTGCTCAAATTTGAAGTAGCTCCTGTTAAAAACACCTCGTCCACATCCTTAGGGATTTGATTGAGAGTTACAGCTGCAGTTAAAGTGTTTCCATGGACAACTCGAACTTTAAGGTTTGGATGCTTGTTCACAAACAACATTCCACCCCCATTGAGAGCTTCATTCTACATTTAGACATTTTTTTTTTGTAATTAATATAGTTGATTATAGATAATTTCATACAAACATCTTATCAAATTGATTGCTTATTGAACAAGTGCAATGTTTAAATTTATGTATAGTTGGATATGGTAGGTGGGTACCTCATGCAAGTTTAATTTGAAGTACATGAGAAAATTGAACATTGGAATCATGAATTTCACTAGCTGAAATGTGGTATGGTTACTTGGGGGTAAAAATACTTTTCCTCATTATTTGGTACAATGGGAAAAAAATTCCTTGTTTTTTTGTGTTCCCCGGTACCCCCAAAAGGACAAGACAGTAATTTACGGGTGGGTGGGTATGTGAGAGATAGAGAGAGAGAGAGAGCAACCTTATTCAATGCAGCAAGGGTAAGGACTTTAACACCCAACCTATCGGCCCTGAGAATTGCTTCCTCTATGTGCTTATTGATGCCCTCTCTAGCAAATGGCAAGAAATACTGCATATATATATTCAAAAAAAAATTGAAAAGAGAAAAGAAAAAAGAAGTCAAGATAATCATCAAATTGAGAACCTAATTGATTATAAATGCATAAAAAATGGCAAGAGCAGTGTGAGTTGAAGAAACAATAAACATTAAAAAGTAGAGAGAAAGACCTGAAAACCAAAGCGAGGTACAGCCCAAGTGTGGTGCAAGCGGCCTCTGAGGTTGTAGAATGAGACCGAGAAGGGCTTAGACTTAGCCCACATCACCAGCATCACTGTAAATGCAAGCGGCCAAATTGGGAGCAAGAAGATCCTGGTCCTGAACGGCTTCGACGCGAATGACCGGAATACAAACACCTGGCTGCGTAGGGAAGCTGTTATATCCACCACATGTGCCAAGAATACAAAATCAGGTACCCTCCAGTTTTTACCTGCATTCAATGGGGGATGACCATTATTTTATTTATCCAGAAACAAAAATGCTGTGCTAGCTTTTCTTGTCTTATTTTCTTATTTAATTAATCATAACAATTCTCAAACAAAATTTTACAGAAGAGAGAAGGGGTCATCTCATTTCATTCGTGAAATTTTTTGTGTCTCGCTTTTTTTTTTACAGTAGTATAAAAAAGCATTTCCAGGTTATCGTCATTAATCCCACCTTAGGTACAAGAATGACTACAACCATGTGATACACCAAATTTTTTTTGAAATCAGTATATGGTCCCGCTTATTATCAACCTTTTTTTTTTTTTTTTTCATTTTTGTTTTTAGGGTGAATTGGCACACACAAATTCATGTACGGTGAACAATTACGTGTTAAATCAGTACGCATTTGGTAAAGACAATAAATATATACGATATGATATGATTAAGGAGGAAGGAATTATTAGGATATTCTTTGTTTGGAGAGGGAGATACCTGAATTTAAAAGTAACGTTTTGTGCAGGTCCCATGATTTGCTATTGAGGGTATTGCCCAATGCATCATAGAGAGGCATAAAAAGGCAATAATTAGTGCCCGTCTCTGTATGGTGTAGGCTGTGGTATCTGTCAAATTGATGAATGAATTAGAATTAGTTTTAGTTTTAGTTTTAAAGACAAAATAGTAAGGAATTATAAAATCTCAAGATCAATAAATGTTTTAGTTCCAGAATGAGAATCATAAGTTATAAACAGGCGTCCCGTATTAGATACCCAAACAAATACTATTTACGGATGGATACCCAATCAATCAAAAAAGCCACATAATAGTAATTGTTTTGTGAAATTTTCAAAAATTTTACATCTCTTCACATCTAATCTAATCAGCTAGCTAGCTAGCTAGCTCATTCATTCCCATTTCTCTCTCTCTCTCTCTCTCTCTCTCTCTCTCTCTCTCCCGCTGCTTCCAAGTTCCATCCCATGGGCGGGCATCTCTAAATCTAATCCATATCAATCCTTTCTCAGTCCAGCAGCAGCTCCTCCATCATATCAATCCTTTCTCAGTCCAGCAGCAGCAGCAGCAGCTCCTCCATCACCGACCACTGCGACCTCCACCACCTCTCCACTTACCTCTGATTTCATCCCCTCTATTCTACAACAACAACATCACTTGGTATTCATCCCTTTACACTCCATTACATTTGAAGAGATGGAGAGACAAAGAGAGAGAGAATTAGGAGGTTAGAGACCAGTTGTTCGTAGACATGGAAGGCAAGGCTCAGAGGGCTGGAGGGTTCAGTCTGCTGTCCATACCATCTTCGTGGATGACATCCCTGACTCGATGGATCCAAGGAGGTTACATTCTCTATACTCTAGTTTTGGAGTTGTAAGGGAGGTCTTCATCTCCTTCAAGAGAAGAAAAATATCTCGTACCAGGTTTGGCTTTGTTCGATATGACTGTTTAGTGGCAGCAACCATGGCGATTCAAAAAATAGATGGGATGTGGTGTGATGATAAAGCCCTAAAGGTCAAGATGGCCCAATTTGGGAAGGAGGAGGTTGTGAACCATAAGTCAGCACATCCAAATGTTGGTAGAGAAGGGAGAGGTAAATCTATTGTCGTTCCAGGGCCACATAGAGGGAGTAGATCTTATGCGCAGGTCCTTCGAGAATGTGGGTCCACGTCCAAACCAACCATAACTGTCAGGGCACTGGAAGAAGGAAATGGATGGTTATATGAGAGTGTAGTAGTCAGGTTGAAGGCCACTTGCTCTGTAGCTGATTTTAAGAAGGAATTGTTGATCAAGGGTTTGGGGGAGGCTAAATTTACAATAGGTGGGGGTAGAGATGTTATACTCTCCTTCAAATCAGTAAGGATGATGCAACAGGAAAATAATAGAATGAAAGGTTGGATTAAGGAGTGGAGTGACTCAGTCAAAGTTTGGAAACAAGGCATGCTCTTGGATCAAGAAAGAAGTGTGTAGCTAAGCTGTTATGGGGTGCCTCCTAATTTATGGTGCTTCAACACTTTCAATAATATAGGGAGGCAGTGGGGGCAGGTGATTGAGGTAGATGATGACACTTTGAGGTTAAAAAACCTGCAATGTGGTAAGGTAAGGATAGCTACATCCTGTATGGAATCTATTAACGCGTCCATTTTCTTAGATTGCAAAGGAGTTTTATACCCGGTCAAGATCTGTGAGGAACAGATTGTTATATCTAAGGTAGTAGTGCAACAATGCAGCTGTCGATCGTCCCAACCGGAAAGAGCCAGTCAGAGTTCAAACAAGGAGGCTACTGATGAGGCTTCCGACTCAATTCGGGGCAACTTGCCGGTGGTGCAGGGGGACGATGAGGCTGCCAAGGTAGGAGTTGGTGATCATAGGGCTGTTGTGGCTGTAGGAGAGCGTTCTGTGTCAGTGGATGATGGAAAGCTAAACAGTGGACAGAGTGTTTCTGTGGTGGAAGAGACAGTTAGTATGCTGGAGGTGGCATGTGGAGCACGTAAGGTCAACCCTGAAGTCAATTTGGTGGGCTCTATGCAAGGTGTGAGTAGAGGTCATGCAAATGTCAATAATGTATTATGCACGCCTGGTTTCATTAGAAGTATGAGTAGTTCTGTTGGTTATGGGGCTGGTCTAAACCTTGAGGTGGTGTTGGGCAAAGCCCAAGCCCAATATGGGGAGAATAAATTTAATCAGGCCCAAGGCCTTGGTGATTCTAGATGTGCAGAAAGTCCAACTAATGTTGAGAATTATTTTCAGCCTATATGTGGGATTACGGCTCAACACCAATTACAAATTGAGTCAGGTAGTGGAGTGGGTTTGGGCAAGTCTAGGGAATGTTCAAAACTCTCATCCCAGGTTAACAAAACCTACAGGAAACATAAGAGTAAAGGTATGAAAAGGAGAGTCTGGAACAAGAAATTATAGATATTTTAGAAAATCATAAAAACATACTGTCTAGGTCCATCAGGGGATCCATGAGCTTCATAACAAGAAAGGAGGCCTTGAGCTTCATAACCGAATTGGTCCAGCAGCACAAGTCAAGAAAGGAGCAATTCTTAGGTCTGCAGTGGCTGCTATTTCGCTGTCTATGGCAAGTGATTCCAGTCGTGGTAGATTGCTACTTAATGAGGCCGAAGCAACTTTACAGTTAAGGCGAGAACTCGGGCTCAATTGTGAAGGCAAAGAGGAGGAGGTTGTGAGCAAGCTTATGGAATTGGAGTCCATGGATATGGATAAGGTGAACAAAAAGGGAAAGGGAGTAGTCAGTTAATTGACTTCTTCTAGGAGACTTAGGAGTGCTTTTTGGTTAAATGAAGCTTTTATCTTGGAATGTTAGGGGGTTAGGTAGAACTGGTAAATGTAGGAAAATCAAGCAGGTGCTTAAGGAGAGGAAGATAGATATGGCTCTCTTGCAAGAGACCAAAAAAGAGGTCGTTAATTTAGAGCTGGTGCAATCTCTTTGGGCTGGGGAAAAAATGGAGTTTGTGTCAGTTGATTCAATAGGGTCTGCTGGTGGGTTTCTCTGTATCTGGAACCCTGAAGTTTTTCAGTTCAAGAACTGCTGTTGCAATCGCAATTTTATTCTCCTGGCAGGTTCGATCTTGTTTTGTTTTAATTGTGTAATTGTTAATGTTTATGGGCCAAATGATCCTGTATGAAGGAAAAGGATGTGGGACATTCTTGTGAATCTTAAATCACAATTCTTGGATCCATGGTGCTTGGGGGTGATTTTAATGAGATTAAAAGCATTTCTGAAAGAAAAGGGTGTTCTAGGAGGGATAAGGGGATGAGGGAGTTCAATGAAATGATAGAACAATTAGAGGTCTTTGATCCACCTATGTGTAGAAGGAAGTTTACTTGGTGTCATTCACAAGAGGGTGATAGATGGTGCAGGCTTGACAGATTCTTATTAAATCCAGAATGGGTGCAGACATTCAATTTCAAGCTTTGGGGTTTACCTAGACTGGTTTCTGACCATTGCCCTATTGTTTTGATATAGGATGAGAGGGATTGGGAGCCTAGACCATTCAGGTTTCTAAGTACTTGGTTTATGCATCCAAAATTCTTGTCATTTGTGGAACAAACATGGGTTGCTCTAAATGTGATGGGTTGGGCTGGATTCAGATGTTTAGTCAAATTCAAAAGGTTAAAATTAGCTTTGAAGAGGTGGAATAATGAGGTGTTTGGAAATGTGGAGAACAAGCTTAAAGCTACAGAGAACGAAGTTCATGCACTTGATTTAGTGGCTGAAGTAAGGGCTTTGTCTGCAGATGAAGTAGCTAGGAAAAGAGAACTGAAAGGTGATGCTTGGAAATTAAGTACAATGCTGGAGAGAATGTGGTTCCAAAAATTTAGACTTAAATGGGCATTATTGGGTGACAGAACATGCTTAAAGCTCCAACTAGGAGGTTGGAGCTTCTTATAACTCCAAGTTCCTCTTTATTGATGTAAAGTGTTTTTTCCATCAATAAAGTCTTCTTTTTGCCGATCAAAAAAAAAAGAAAAAAAAAAAAAAAAAATCACTTGCACAAAATCTCCACCAAACCCAACCCATAATAATGGCATAAAACTCATCAGTGACAGTGATCAATGTTTTGTTTTTTCAGCTTCAATTGATCTTTAATTTTTATTGGAAACAAATGGCAGAGAGAGTTGGTAGTGAGAGGGTCTGCCATGGGGTTGGGGTTGGGTGGTGGTTTTCTTTTCTTTGGTGTTCTAGAGCTTGAGTGAGGTTTTGCAATGGATAATACTGAATGCTTACGTCACGTTGTGGAGAATAAAACTACGGGACGCCACTGTAATGAATATAAATTTTGTTGCTCTCATTTAAACTGATTTGTAATGTATTGTAAAATATTAAATACTTTAAATTTTAGGTGGCTTTTGGTGGCGACAAGTATACATGCATACATATAAGATGTAACTAATGCATCATAATTTTTTAATTTTATTTTTATACTATTCATTTACAGGGCAACAACTTGGGTGTGTTTCAAAAGAAAATTCTTTACTTTGTTGTATTATTAGATTATGGAATTTAGACAATATCAACAAGTGTTGAGTAAAAGATTATTCTTTAATGTCCATTATTGTTAGGTGTAATGCAGGTGGCTTTTTACAACTATCCTTTGTACAAAAGTTAAATGAGTAATTAATGGCTCCAAAAAATCTTTGATCGTGTGCATCTCAAAGAAAGGAAACAACTTGGCCTGGGAAGTTGGGTTTGAGAATTTTTTTGGTTAAAATAGTCACAAAAAATAAAATAAACTTTTTAACTTAATAAGATAAAATATCACATCTAACACATAATCATTACATTCTTTCTCTCACAAAAAAGTCAAAAAAGTCAAAAATTCTTCTCAAACCAAACTTTTTAGCCTCAGGCTAAAATAGTCAAAAAAAGTCAAAAAAATCAACCCACTTTCCAAACGAAACCTTTGTGCAACTCAAAAGGGGACTCCTTCAGATATTTTTCTGTTTTAGGGAACCATTTTTATTTATTTAGGGGTAGAAGGGAAATAGGAAAAGTATAGTTTTACATTTAGACTCCAACCACTCACTCTTTTAAACTTTGTAAAGTTAAATTTTGAATTGGTGAATAGTGTTAACTTTTTAACTTTTTGAGTAACTTTTTAGCTTTTTGGCTTTTTTGGATCTTCCCAAACTTGGCCTAAATTTTGAAATTTGAACAAGCATGAAGATGAAATGGGGTTTTACTAGCAAGTTATTTGGTAAATCTCTTTCATATATATGATAAGTATGTTTACATATATAAACCACCTATAAAAAATGACTAAGAGAGAGATTTATGAAATAGAATTATCATCAATGATTCAGAATTACATATACTAACTAAATCAAATCAAAAGAAATTCCAATTAAGGCTATGTTTGGCAATAGCTCAAAAAAAAGTCTTCAGTCATTAAAAAAAATCTCCAGTTTTTCTAGTTCGTCTAGCTTAGAAGAATTCAAAAAGTATTTTCTTTATTAAAAACAAAACTAAAAATATTTTATTAAAGGCAAAGAAAAACCCAAACAATTTAAAATTATGTATAAAAAAAGAAGATATAAGGTTAAAAAAACTAGGGTAAGATGTTAGTTTGTTGTTGAATTTGATAATTTTTGGATAAGTTTAATAAAAGATGTTAGTTTGTTAGTGTTAGTCGGAATGATATTTTGAAGGAGAGATCTAGATATGATATCTATTGATTGGACTTTTTTTAAGTATGAGCACTAATTTAACAATTCAAAAGCTCTGCATGACCGTTGCCTTGGGAAATCAAGAGTTACATATTTCGTGTGAGCAAAAACAAAACTTTAGAAGCACATAATGTCATTAATTAGACCTTCCCTACAAAAATAAGATGTTGTATAACATAAATTGAAGACTAATGCTAACAACACAAAAATCAAACTAAAAATAGTCACAGCATTGTGTTGTGGGCCTCACAACTCATAAATACTCCTTTTTGATTTTGTGACCAATTTTTGTTTAATAGTTGAATTATAAAAGAAAACTGTGCAGTAGAGAATTTGGTAGTTGATTCATGCATAGATGTACATGTCCTGTTGATGAAGAATACAACTAGATATGTATGTATGTATGTATGTACATTTGAGTGATGGTATGGATGTTGCATGCAGTGATGATTAATATTACTTACGTAGGGGTATAGAGAAGATATTTGAGGAAGGGAAGTCTGTCAAACAACTGATAGGGAACAATTTCCACATTGCAATGACCCAAACATCGCAGAAAATCAAAGATCAATACATAGCCATAGATCATGCCTATTGATCCATATCCAATCACACAACTCCCAAATACTGGTATCCCAATTACACCACTCAATATCAGATGCTCCAAAAATGTGCCACTTCCAGCTGCAACCAACTCATTACAAAATAAACATAAAAATAGTGACAAATAAATAATAGATAAATGGAGAGGAAATATTATTGGGTGCCAACAAGAGTGCAAATTTGTTCACCGCTATACAAATGTGTGAACCTTAAACTTGATACTTATTGATTGATTTTGGTGTTGCAGGTGAAACCACCTCATCAAGCAACCAATAGAAAAGTCTGTATTATGTATTTAGTGTGAACAAATTTATTCTACATGTGACAATAAATAATTTATTCGCGGAGAGTCCCACATCTCCATGATTGGTTCATTGATTTGCAACAACCAATCATGAGGGAGGTCAGTAATATTGACCCATCATTCAAGCTGGTGAAATTAATAAAAAAAATATCTTGTATATATATCTTGTAAAAAAGTTTTTTGAAATTAATAAAAAAAAAATATATCTTGTATATATATATTTTTGACATTTTTCTTGTGCTTCAACTGTAATTGCTAACAAGACTCAAATTAAATGGACAGGAGAGGTATTGACTCACCCGTAAAAGGTTGGGGTACTGGAGATGAATGGTGGAGTGAATGGTAATGTGTGAAAAGATATTTTGCATGGAAACATTTATGTAGGCAGTAGTATAGGGGCTCTGAAACACCTATGTGGAGTAGCATAGCAGCAATAAAGCTTCTTGATTCCCACAATGGAAGATTGGAAAGGGCTGGGAATATGTAACAGGCCATGGATCCCATTAGAGCTTGAAGAATTATGAAATTGTCCCTTTACAAAATTGAAAAGAAATATATAATCAGCTAATTACATTACATTTAATTGAAGAAGAAGAAGAAGAAGAAAAAATTTAAAAATCATGAAAAACAAGAAAAACACTTACCAGTCCCATTCCTTGTCAATCTGCTTGAAATCGACACCTTCCTGTAGAATCCGGCGATTATCGGTAAGGGAAAAGCGTGTTACTGTAAGAAGTCCATAGCTGATACATCAAAGCTCTGAGTACACATATAATTAGAATATGAAGACACCATGTATCCGTCATGATATTATCCTCTTGTATTCTTGAATATATGACTTTTGCAAAGACGGCTCCATATATCAGATACTGCAACAAAAACAAAAAACAAAAAACAAAAAACAAAATGAGAGCAAAATCTAATCTCATATCATTAAGAACTAATATCAATAAGCAACAGCAAATTGGATTTTTATTTTTATTTTTATTTTTGGTTGGGGGAGGGGATGAAATAATCATGGGCATGAAAATGAACACAGAAGGAATGAAGGCATAGAAAGATAGATAGGTCATATAGCAGCTTCCATTTACCTTGAATGGGCCCAATATCTCCCAGGGCCAAGCAGACAAGGTTGCAACCATGCTATCTACACTCTCTCTCTCTCTCTCCCCTCTACTTCTTGTGTTTCTTTCTTTATAGCTTTTTTCCCCAATAATAAAACAATCCAAATTCCAATTATACTAGCATAAAATTGCTAGTTGAAGACAACAACAATATGCTGTTAACACATGTAGATAGAAAAACAAATCCCACAAAAGAGTAGCATAATAGCACCAGAGAGAGAGAGAGGGGGAGAGAGAGAGAGAGAGCTTTCTTGTGTATTCAAGCTTTTCTCTTCCCTTTTCTCTCAATCAATGGGATCTATTCAAGTTTCTGTAAGCTATTATTCTCACTCCTCCAATCACCTACTTATAGCTGAAAAAAGAACCCTAAAAAATAAAAATAAAAAAACTGTCACTTCCAAATATGGTTAGAACACTCGCTCAAAATCTCTGGACTCTATCTAAAACTCAGCCACCCCAATGCATTGAACCATCGACAAATATGATAATATGACCGAAGGCTAACCAGGAATTCAAGGTGTTCTCATTTTTTAAATGTCTTTTTTTTTAAATGTTTTTTTTTATATATATTATATTAAAGTTTAATATTTTGATAATAATCATATGTGCTGGACTTTTCAAGGAATTAAATATCTTCTTTTTTTATATATTAAAGTTTAATATTTTGATAATAATCGTATGTGTTGGATTTTTCAAGGAATTTTTTTTATACTTGTTCTTAATGCATTAAAGTGTTATTATGAGGGATAATAATCATATGTGTTGGGACTTTTCAAGGAATTCATGTGTTGGACTTTTCAATGATTTTTTTTTTATATACTTGTTCTTAATTCATTAAAGTATTATTATAAGGGTAAGGCTTGGGGTTGGGAGAAGTTAATAAATGTTAAGGGTTTTTTTTTTTAAAAAAAAAAAATAGGAAATTTAGATTGGGATATTAGAGCTTCCATAAGGCTTGGGGGGGTTAGAAACCCCCTTTTCCTTAATATATATATATATATAGATCGATAGATAGATAGATATAGATATAGATAGATAGATAGATATAGATATGGCACATACCATTTATATGACACAAGGACCAAAGTACTGGGACAACTGCTGCAATTTGCTCTCATCTAAATTAAAGGGATTTAAAAAGTTAAAAAAAAAAGAACAAAATATTATAATATTAAAAAATGTTCACTAAAAAAATATAGATTAAAAATTAAAAATTAATTATTGAAAACTCCATACTAAATAAGGTAATGTTTTCTATTAATTTGAAAATTAAAAAATTATTATTAATTTTTCCTCTGTTTTTTTTTTCTCACAAAAAAAAATTTGGGCTATCTTTCATCACCTTTAAATCAAAATTTTTGGACTTTTTTACCACTAATTTTTAGAGGTTCTCAGAGGCTAAAAATGTTGTTTTGAGGCCCCAAAAATAGAGGGGTTGGCCACCCCTCTTCATTCTTGTTTACTAGTACAAAGCAAGAATAGTCGGTTTTGCATAGGGTGCCTTCTTGTATAATAGCTTCAATACTGGTATGCATGAAGGGCTTAAGTGTGAGACGTATGAGAGGGGCTTTAGTGCGAAAATAGAAGAAATGGTTTACAGAGTGTCTTCTTGCTTCACGACTTCAATACTTGTACGAGAGGAGTAGGCTCAAGTGCGAGAGAGAAATGAGGGTTTGTAGGAAGTGTCTTCTTGGGTCATGACTTGAGTGTCCGTGCACATAAAAATGAGTGATAAGGGTCAGAGTGTGTCTCTTGGGGTCACGGTTTTAGTGCTTCGAAACACAAAACCATAGCATATTAATAAACAGAAATAATTAGTGAAAAAATGTTTTTGTCTTCTTAAATACAAGAACAGAGAATTTATTATTGGTGATGAAATATTTTTGTCTTCCACAACATAACCTTATGAGACGAAAAATATATTCGTTGTGCAATCAATCAGAATTTATTAGTGACTAAATATTTTCATCTCCTACAACTTATTCTTCCAAGACAAAAATATATTTGTTGCCTATTTAACAAAAAGATGAAACGGCATCGTTTGCATGATGGAGTGTTTATTGGTGACGAAATATATTCGTCTTCCATAACCTCTCATTCCTAGACAATATATTTGTCGCCTAATAAATGGAAATATGCAACGACATCGTTTAATAGGTAGGAAATTTATTGGTGACGAATTACATTCGTCGCAAAAAATATATATATTTTGTGACAAAAATGTTCGTCTCTAATCAGCTAAAATAATTCGCACCAAAGCAAATGAAATTGGCGCCTAAATTTTGCAGATGAATTTTTTTTTCGTCTCCTATACATTTGAGAAAAAAATAAAGCAAACAACAAAATTAATATTTTATCATATTTGGGTTAAATTTTAAGACAAAAAAAAATTTTGTCACCAAATTTTGTCACAATAGCCTAGATTTCTTGTATTTTGTTTCCTTGTTTAATTATTATTATTATTATTTTCATATTGTGGTGAGGGGTTTACTATGAGAAAGAATAATAACTTTGCACAAAATGTCTTCTTGGATAATAATGTTTGCATGCACAAACGGTGAGAATAGAGGAGTTTCAGTGCGAAATAGAAGAGATGGTTTATAGAGATTGTTTTCTTGAGTCACAGCTTCAATACTTGTGAGAGAGGAGACTCAAGTGCGAGATAGAAATGAGGGTTTGTAGAGGGTGTCTTTTCGGGTCACGACTTTAGTATTTGTGTGTGTGTGAAAGTAAGTGATTAAGGTGAGAGTGATCTCCTAGTTTTTGACGACATTTTAATAAAGAGAAATAATTAGTGATAAAATATTTTCGTCTCAAACTCAAATGTTCGTTTCCTAATCAACAAAAATACAAAAACAACGTTGTGTGGGGATGAAGAATTTATTGGTGATGAAATATTTTCGTCTCCTTCAACTTAACCTTATGAGACGAAAATATATTCGTCGCACAATCACTCAAAATGCAACACGACACATGGAGAATTTATTAACGACGAAATATTTTCGTCTCCCAAAACATATCCTTCCGAGACAAAAATATATTTGTCGCCTAATTAACAGAAAGATAAAATGAGCATGAAGAGTTTATTGGTGACGAAATATTTTTGTCTCCCATAACTTATCCTTCCCAACCAAAAAATATATTTGTCACCAAATAAATAAGAAAATGAAACGACATCGTCTAATAAGTTTCGAATTTATTGGTGACGAATTCCTTTTGTCGCAAAAAACTTTAAAATTTGTGACAAAAATGTTCGTCTCCAATGAGCTAAAATAATTCACGCCAAAGCAAATAAAATTGGCGCCTAAATTTTGCAGATGAAAATTTTTTTCGTCTCCTATACGTTTGAGAAAAAATAAAACAAACAACAAAATTAATATTTTATCATCTTTGGGTTAAATTTTAAGACAAAAAAAATTTCGTCACCAAATTTTGTCACAATAACCTAGATTTCTTGTAGTGTGTTTCCTTATTTAATTATTATTATTATTATTTTCATATTGCGGTGAGGGGTTTACTATGAGAAAGAATAATAGCTTTGCACAAAGTGTCTTCTTGAATAACAATGTTTGCATGCACAAA